TTTGATATCATTTAGGACAATTCTTGCAATTCTCCTCATCGCTAATTATGATTTCAAAATTTTTATCTTCTTAATATCACTTCAGAACAAAATTACAAACAGATATACATTAGCTGAATGTTGATGTTGTGCAAACAGCCTGTAGTCAATGAGACACACACATTAAACTGTTGATGATATGCCAATATCTTGTAAGACATTGTTGATGTTGATGTTGACCCGACAGCCATTATCTTATAAGACATTATTTATATTGATGTTGACACGATAGCCAATATTTTATAATGACATTGTTGATGTTGACCCGACAGCCAATATCTTATAATGACAATGTTGACGTTGATGTTGAACCGACAGCCAATATCTTATAATGACATTGTTGACGTTGATGTTGAACCGACAGCCAATATCTTATAATGACATTGTTGATGTTGACCCGACAGCCAATATTTTATAATGACATTGTTGATGTTGACCCCACAGCCAATATTTTATAATGACATTGTTGATGTTGACCCGACAGCCAATATTTTATAATGACATTGTTGACGTTGATGTTGACCCAACAGCCAATATTTTATAATGACATTGTTGATGTTGACACGACTTTGTTGACGTTGATGTTGACACGACAGCTAATATCTTATAATGACATTGTTGACATTGATGAACACCATTGTGTTTAAAGACATTTTTTATGTTGAAATTGAACTGACAGTGAATATATTATTATGATAATGAGACATGGTAGATGTTGAATTGGACCTGACAGCCTATACCTTTATGTTTGTAGACATGGTAGATGTTAAATTAGACCTGACAGCCTATACCTTTATGTTTGTAGACATGGTAGATGTTGAATTAGTCCTGACAGCCTATACCTTTATGTTTGTAGACACGGTAGATGTTAAATTAGACCTGACAGCCTATACCTTTATGTTTGTAGACATGGTAGATGTTAAATTAGACCTGACAGCCTATACCTTTATGTTTGTAGACATGGTAGATGTTAAATTAGACCTGACAGCCTACACCTTTTTGTTTGTAGACATGGTAGATGTTAAATTAGTCCTGACAGACTATACCTTTATGTTTGTAGACATGGTAGATGTTGAATTAGACCTGACAGCCTATACCTTTATGTTTGTAGACATGGTAGATGTTAAATTAGACCTGACAGCCTATACCTTTATGTTTGTAGACATGGTAGATGTTGAATTAGTCCTGACAGCCTACACCTTTATGTGTGTAGACATGGTAGATGTTAAATTAGACCTGACAGCCTATACCTTTATGTTTGTAGACATGGTAGATGTTAAATTAGACCTGACAGCCTATACCTTTATGTTTGTAGACATGGTAGATGTTGAATTAGACCTGACAGCCTATACCTTTATGTTTGTAGACATGGTAGATGTTGAATTAGACCTGACAGCCTATACCTTTATGTTTGTAGACATGGTAGATGTTAAATTAGACCTGACAGCCTATGCCTTTATGTTTGTAAACATGGTTGACGTTTATGTTGAACTGACAGCCAAATTCCATTTTGTTAGTAGACAATGTCATTGGTTGATTTTGATGTTGACCTGACAGCCATTATGTTAGTAGACATGGTTGACAATAATGTTTACCTGACAGCAATTATGTTAGTAGACATGGTTGACTTTGATGTTGACCTGACAGCCATTATGTTAGTAGACATGGTTGACGATAATGTTAACCTGACAGCCATTATGTTAGTAGACATGGTTGACAATAATGTTTACCAGACAGCCTTATGTTAGTAGACATGGTTGACGATAATGTTTACCTGACAGCCATAATGTTAGTAGACATGGTTGACAATAATGTTTTCCTGACAACCATTTTGTTAGTAGACATGGTTGACTTTGATGCTGATCTGACAGTCAATTACATTTTGTTAGTAGACATGGTTGACTTTGATGCTGATCTGACAGTCAATTACATTATGTTAGTAGACATAGTTAACGTTAATGTTGACCTTACAGCCATTATGTTAGTAGACAATGTTATTGGTTGATTTTAATGTTGACCTGACAGCTATTGTGTTAGAAGACATGGTTGATGTTAATGTCCCCAACTAATAAGCACGCAAACAATGAATTGTCTGTGCTGAATTATTTTTACCTATCTCTAAAACACATGTAATTTATTTTCCTCTGATCCCTTTTTGTCAGCCTGCAACATTTATGTGCAGAAGTCAGACATAGTGAATTTATATTCCATTGGCTGCAGCAGTTAAGTGGTGTCAACATTTATGTTCAACTTCAGTCTCTGGTAAAACTTTTTAGACATCAATAACTTTGTGAATTTTATGAAACTTGGACAGAAGTTTTTTTAAATGACCAAAAGACAGTATCAAGTGCAAATTTTTTTTTAAATTTATTTCATTTTTCTGTAATGTCTTGATAAATGGACTTACAGTTAACATTTAGATACAATATAAGGTTAAAGTGTATCAGTCATCAGTAACTTCAATGAGACTGTTACAATTGTCTGTTTACCAGTAGGTTATTGGATAAATAGCATGGACTACATTGAATATAACTATGAAAAGCTTTTCATATCAGTTCACACCAGACCTAAATATCATCTCTGTGTAATTCATGGTTATAAATAGGTGAGTAATTCAGGCTGATTTGAGCCCTTGTTCAAGCCTTTCCTGTACTAACTATTTGTGATTTATGGTTTATTCTTATGACTGCCCTTGCTTAGAACATTATATCTAAAAGCTTCTATATTTTTCTGGAAATTAATTATTTTGGCCTATATCGCATAAGCTCACTTTTGTACTTTTCTGTAATAATTGCCATTTCAATTTATTCTTTGATTGTTTGCTTCCTTAATTTGAAAAGAAAATTTAAAGTCATGATGAAAATGAATTTCAATCTTTTGGTGGTTATATGGATTTCAGAAAATTGCTTTTAACATCTTATGATAAAAAAATAAATGAGGTTTTTGTTTTGCACTAGCCAGAAATGAATTAGGCTAGAGCCATTTCAATTTCCGTTATAATTGTCCAATCGAGTTCCTCGTCAGCAGACAGGTGCATGGTGATGGATTACTGAAAGGTCCCACGTATCCACGAGAAAAAAATCTCATTTCAATTAAGGAAAAAATTTACTTTCATTGAAAAGAAATTGGCTTATTACGAAATAAAAGGATGAAATAGAAGTCTTCATGAATAACTAATGCTCTGTGTTATAGGTTTTGAAAGAAGTGTTAAATTGTATATATACTTTCAATAGATGTGTCAAGTGTTTCTAACTGTAAAAGCAGTTTGCATGTCATGCCAAATAAAGGGTTAAGGCAATGATTTGTCAAATTATCTATTTAAAAGTGCATGTCTACATCATCTGATAACAAAACAAAATTCTCTTTTTTTCTGTAGTTTCATTTGATCTTTTGATATATTGAACAGTAGAGCATGATTCTCCTTCTCAAATTAACCACTGTACCAGCTTGTAATTGAACTGGGGACCCCTAGCACAGTAAGCCAATGCTCTACCAACTGAACTAAAGACGTACTCCACTAAAACAGCTAATGCAGTGCAGTCATTAAACTAGGTTATGGGTGCCAGTCAACTTGCCCCACCTAAACAGTAATAATAACATGATGATGATAACCAATATCAAACCTATGCTAAACTTCAATTTTTTTAACCACCCAGAGGTGGATTTAGAGGGGGCAGGGTGCCTACGGCTTCCTCTTATGGAGCTACATATATGGTAAATGCATAGACTTTGTACATGTCCCACTCCAAATGTTGCTAAGTTTGGGACCCCAGCCCCCTTTTTTCAAAATCCTGGATCCGCATCTGCCACCACGATTTTTTTTATAGGTTTTTTCATCAGAAGGTCAAATTTACTGTTGATTTTCCTTAAACAAGTTGCAACTGTACTGGGAAAGGAAATCACAGCTCCACCAACCAAGCTATAGCTTACTGTACTGGGACAGGAAGTCACATCTCCACCAACCAAGCTATAGCTTACTGTACTGGGACAGGAAGTCACAGCTCCAGCAACCAAGCTATAGCTTACTGTACTGGGACAGGAAGTCACATCTCCACCAACCAAGCTATAGCTTACTGTACTTGGACAGGAAGTCACAGCTCCACCAACCAAGCTATAGCTTACTGTACTGGAACAGGAAGTCACATCTCCACCAACCAAGCTATAGCTTACTGTACTGGGACAGGAAGTCACAGCTCCACCAACCAAGCTATAGCTTACTGTACTGGGACAGGAAGTCACAGCTTCACCAACCAAGCTATAGCTTACTGTACTGGAACAGGAAGTCACAGCTCCACCAACCAAGCTATAGCTTACTGTACTGGGACAGGAAGTCACAGCTCCAGCAACCAAGCTATAGCTTACTTTCCTGGGACAGGAAGTCACATCTCCACCAACCAAGCTATAGCTTACTGTACTTGGACAGGAAGTCACAGCTCCACCAACCAAGCTATAGCTTACTGTACTGGAACAGGAAGTCACATCTCCACCAACCAAGCTATAGCTTACTGTACTGGGACAGGAAGTCACAGCTCCACCAACCAAGCTATAGCTTACTGTACTGGGACAGGAAGTCACAGCTTCACCAACCAAGCTATAGCTTACTGTACTGGGACAGGAAGTCACAGCTCCACCAACCAAGCTATAGCTTACTGTACTGGGACAGGAATTCACAGCTCCAACAACCAAGCTATAGCTTCTCTCCTAATGGAGTTTTGTATAAATCTACTTTCGCAAGGGAATCATTGCAGCAATGATTATATTTAACAGAAAATATGTTGTGGTCATATATACATATTATCTGGTAATAAAAACAAAACCAAAGAGGAAAACACATGAAAAATTCATGTGTATGCACACATTATGGAAACAGTTAAATACAAAATAAACACAAAAAAACTACATGATTGGGTATCATGTCAATTTAACTCAAAAGTTAATTCTAAAATTATTTCTATTTTCAGCTGACGAGAAACTGACAGAGGAGGGGTTATCTCCCCTAATTCTTGACCAAGATGTCCTCCCAATCACTGGTAAGATATTATTAGAAAAAACTTTATTTATTGGTATGAATTATCAGTGTTATGAGAATAACAGTACCAACATCTGAACAGCAAGGGAACAGTGAAACATTTTTATTCTCTATATTAATAACATAGGTTTCAGAAAACACTTTGGACGCAGCAAATTTATGAAAGGTTATTTTTCATTTATAGTTCTTTTAGAAGTTTTTATAGAATCAATGTCAGTGCAGATTTTCAAGTCAGTTACTGATATATACCATCAGTGATATGAAAACATATTTTTCGATATAAATAATTCAAAAGCATGAGTCCAATTTGTGTGAAATATTTTATTCCTCCATCATAGTGTTAGTATGTCATTTAAGATGAAGAAATCATAAATAAGCCGTTATGACAGACAGCCAACAAATTGAATAATAGTATAGGTCTTATACACCTTGTCGTAATTGTACAAAATGTATATAACACCATCCGTGAAAGACCAGGGACAAAAATGTCAAAATCATATGCTGTAATTTTATTTCCCATCAAATTCTGGCGAAACAGGATTTGACGTTTAATGTGCCTCTCCTTTTGTATAAGTCCAACAAAACAAAAAGATTGGATTCTAATTAAGTTTCCTTAGATACGATGAAGAATTGATGTCCTGCAAGTTAAAAGCCGAGGGCAATTTTTCTTTTCAATTTTAAAAGTTTATTAAGTGGTTGTCCACTAGGAAAAAAATCTAGATTTTTAACTTATAGAACATTAAAAGTAATAGCTTTGTCTGAAAGTGTGACACATAAATAAATGATGCTTCCCTTTCATGTCAAATTGGACAGCAGGGAAAAAAATGAATATGCCAGGTCGTAAGACTGATAGATTTTAAATCAATACTTCAATGGATATGAGAAAAATGGGTAAAGACACATTTATAAAATATAAGAGAGATGAAAAGAGAAAGTTTTGTATCTTACTGTGTTATCAAGGAGATTTCTACTTCATCAGAGTTGTCTCCCCATTACACGTGTTGACTTTTTTAATCATGAAAAGGGTAGCCATTGTGTAGAGTTGATGTGTTGTCATTTTAGCCCTTGAAAAGTGATAGGACTCCTACTTTAAGTTGTATTTTGAAAAACAAATGTGTCTTCTAACTAATTAGAATCATCTAATATACTTTTAGGCCTTTATATACAACTTAAAATTGTTATATAATTCACCGAGCAAATTTAGAAAAAAAAAGCTATTTAATTATCTAGAAATTTTAATAAGTTGAAGAATTATACATGTTATAGCCCTTTAGAGAATATACAAAAAATTTGAAATTTAAAATATTTTTTTTAGTTGTGATTTTTGAAGATCAGATATTTACAGTCAAAGGTCTTTGGCAGAAATTTAACGTTATTTTACAATGTTCCTATTCCTTTAGTTAGTTTGTTTTGCCTTAATTGAAAACCAATTTGTCAAGTGTTTTCTTACAATACTGATAATAGCCAAAACTCAAATGATATTTTTATATGATTTATACTGATCCTCTTAAAGCTATGAACATTTATTGACCTTAGTAAAGTAGTGCGAGCCCAAGGGTTCAGTGGACATATTACAACTGTCACATGCATATGACAATGTCATTTAGATTAAATAAAAAATATACAATTTACCCTGAATATTAATATAGTTGTATGAAAAATGCAATTATCTTAGATGTCGAAACCAATTGACCTGTATATCATACGTAATTTCATGTTGGTATAATTTTGATCAAATTTGCTATGGATAATGCTTGGATCATTGCTAAAGAATACTGATCAGTTTAGTGACAAAAGGTAGGTTTCCTTCTAGTTAATTAGCACAGGAAAACAGTGGGAATACTTAGACAACATTTATTGTTAGTTATTATGGGAAAAAAATTCTAGAAAAGTGCAACATTGAAAGAGAAAAAAATGTTGACTCAAAAGTTCAGGATAGTATTGCTCTTAATATCACAGAAAACAGTTGGTCTAAGTGTTAATTATAAGGACTTGAGTACTCTCAGATCTTTACTTGGTGTCTTTTTTGTTGTGGGATATATAGATACTCTGCCACGTTCAGTCTTTAGAGGTTTTCTGCTTTGTATTGATCTGATGAGTTAAGCCCTTTTTAACTGATTTTTTTATCTTTGTTGCTTTACCTGACCAGTGTGTTTGTTATTGATATCTTTGTTGCTTTACCTGACTGATATCTTTGTTGCTTTACCTGACTGATATCTTTGTTGCTTTACCTGACCAGTCTGTTTGTTATTGATATCTTTGTTGCTTTACCTGACTGATATCTTTGTTGCTTTACCTGACCAGTCTAATTGTTATTTATCTTTGTTGCTTTACCTGCCTGATATCTTTGCTGCTTTACCTGACCTATGTGTTTGTTATTGATATCTTTGTTGCTTTACCTGACCAATGTGTTTGTTATTGAGATCTTTGCTTCTTTACCCGACTAGTGTGTTTGTTATTAATATCTTTGTTGCTTTACCTGACCAGTATGTTTGTTATTGATATCTTTGTTGTTTTACCTGACTAGTGTGTTTGTTATTGATATCTTTGTTGCTTTACCTGACTGTGTGTTTGTTATTGAGATCTTTGCTGCTTTACCTGACCAGTATGTTTTTCATTGGTATCTTTGTTGCTTTACCCGACCAGTGTGTTTGTCATTGATATCTTTGTTGCTTTACCTGACTAGTGTGTTTGTTATTGATATCTTTGTTGCTTTATCTGACCAGTGTATTTTTATTGATATCTTTGTTGCATTACCTGACTAGTATGTTTGTTATTGATATCTTTGTTGCTTTACCTGACCAGTGTGTTTGTTATTGCTATCTTGCTGCTTTACCTGACCAGAGTGTTTGTTATTGAGATCTTTGCTTCTTTACCTGACCAGTATGTTTGTTATTGATATCTTGCTGCTTTACCAGGCTAGAGTGGTTGTTATTGAGATCTTTGCTTCTTTACCTGAGTGTGTTTGTTATTGATATCTTTGTTGCTTTACCTGACCAGTGTGTTTGTTATTGATATCTTTGCTGCTTTACCTGACTTGTGTGTTTGTTATTGATATTTCTGTTGCTTAACCTGACTAGTGTGTTTGTTATTGATATCTTTGTTGCTTTACCTGACCATTGTGTTTGTTATTGATATCTTTGTTGCTTTACCTGACTAGTTAGTTTGTAATTGATATCTTTGTTGCTTTACCTGACCAGTGTGTTTGTTATTGATATCTTTGTTGCTTTACCTGACCATTGTGTTTGTTATTGATATCTTTGCTGCTTTATCTGACCAGTGTGTTTGGTATTGATATCTTGGTTGCTTTACCCGACCAGTGTGTTTGTTATTTATATCTTTGCTGCTTTATCTGACCAGTGTGTTTGGTATTGATATCTTTGCTGCTTTATCTGACTAGTGTGTTTGTTATTGATATTTCTGTTGCTTAACCTGACTAGTGTGTTTGTTATTGATACCTTTGTTGCTTTACCTGACCAGTGATTTTTTGTTGATATCTTTGCTGCTTTACCTGACCAGTGTGTTTGTTATTGATATCTTTGCTGCTTTACCTGACCAGTGTGTTTGTTATTGAGATCTTTGCTTCTTTACCTGACCATTGTGTTTGTTATTGATATCTTTGTTGCTTTACCTGACCAGTGTGTTTGTTATTGATAGCTTTGCTGTCTTACCTGACCAGTGTGTTTGTTATTGATATCTTTGCTGTCTTACCTGACCAGTGTTTTTGTCATTGATATCTTTGTTGCTTTACCTGACCATTGTGTTTGTTATTGATATCTTTACTGCTTAAATTACCTGACCAGTGTGTTTGTTATCATTCTGTTTCATCACCTTTCATTATATTAGATGATTTATTCAGATTAAATTGCTGGACATAAAGGCTAAAGGAAGAACATCAATCCTTTAAGACATGTTTGTATGGACTTTTCACACTAAATTTTATTCTTAACATTAATGAAGTAGGGGTACCTATACATTAATCAATCTTTTTTCGGTTATTGATTACTATATGAAATCTGTTCAGAATTTGACCTTGACCAATATTTTTTTTTGACAGAAGTGAAGATTTCGTAATCTGCATATAAAGTACTATGGGTTTGAGAAAGTACCTTATAATGTGATTATAGCACTATGTAACTATTGTAATGATATTTCAGTACATGTACCAGAAACATACATTACTGGATTTGCACTATATATATGTGTGTTAGTACAAGTTTTTGTACTCTTATTTAGTATAAAAACTATCACACTTCCAGTAAGATTGGATTAAATAAAACAGAAGTACTGTATATATTTTGTATCTTTGTTGTAAATGAAGTATCTATCATGTATTGCAAATCTAGCTCACTACGTAGTACTGTAGAATTATGGTTCTAAAGGTAGAGTTATTGGAAGCTAACATTATTAAGGTATATATGTGTAGGATTTGAAAAGTCCGCAGCGTGGAGACAGTACATTAGCACTTAAACTTTATTTGAGTGTGTTAACTAATTTGGAAAAGGGCACTCACTGTATGATGTTATAAAACAGTTGAAAAGTGACAACATTGTTTTCTTTAACACCTGGGTTATGTCAAATTGACATCTGTAAATTTTTAATAATATTAAGTATGTGCTAAGTATCCATATATGATTCAGTTTTCTAGTTTTTAACAGTGTTCTGACAAGTGACCATTAATTGACATAAAAATTTTCAATTAAAAAACATTTTATAATGTTATAAAACAGTTGAAAAGTGACACAAATTGACATTTGTAAATTCATGATAATAAGGTAGCGTCTAAGTAACCAATATATGATTCAGTTTCCTAGTTTTTTTAGGGTTCTAACCTAAGTATTTGACCATTGCACTGTAAGTATCACTTATTTCTCTACATTATAGAAACTTTAAAATAGATCCTCGATTCCATCATCAGCATCATCAACATTTAGGTTCAGTCTGTGGTTCAAGTTTTTCAGACACAAATAACTTTGTCAAACCTTTATGGAATTTCATGAA